TTCCTTCGGGTTGTGACCAATTCAGGTTGCAACCAGTCACAGAACGAATTAAGTTCGTAAACCAAGGTTCCACTGTAAGTGTAAAGGAACTGTGCTACTTTTTGTAGGCAGGCGTTTATTCGAGAGTCTAGCTCAGTGTTTCTCAGACTTGGCAACTTTAAGATGTGTGGACGTCAACTCCCAGCATTTTGGGAGTTGAAGTCCACATATCTTAAAGTTGCCAAGTTTGAGAAACACTGGTCTAGCTGATTCAGTCAATCTAGCTGATACAATTCCAAAGTGGACTTCTGAAACGCTATATTATCAAAAGAACTGTGCCTTAGGATTTATTTGTGTTTAGATCTATACTGTACTTAACTTTGTAATGTTGATTTGACTTATCCTTTTGATACAGTTCTCATTTATACCATGGGCCACAAAGGAGTCATAAAAACAAACCAATTTTTTTTATTCAGAGGTTTCAGAGATGTTTTGGATTCAGTGGTTTTAATGGGAGGTTTATGATTCTAAGCCTATTCATTGCACTATATAGTTTATCCTGGCTGTTTCTATTTGGTCCTGTATTTTTTTTTCTAATTACTTATTAAAATTTTTAAACCTCCCAATGGCTAAAACTCTCTGGGCGGTTTAGAGTAATAGACACTAAAAAAAATACAGTGGATAAAAACACAGAGAACAAAATCAGATCAAATGCGAAATGAAAACACATACAAACTAGGCTGCATTTGTAACAGCACCAATTAAAAGCCAATTTAAAAGCCTGGGAAAATAGAGGCAACAAGGCTTACCTTTTTTTAAAGAGCAGAATTGATGTTATGGCAGTTTAATTTCAAATGTGTTGCATAGTACATCATGTATAACATCAGCTGTAATTCTTAATAAAAATGTCAAGATCATGCAATTCACCAAGAACACTTCTGATCTTGAAAGATGCTGAGAAAAGATTGAGACTAGAATGGTTCTTAATTAATAGAATTCCCAAAGGAACGGAAGGTAGTGGTGGGGAGAGATTGGCTCATACTCCCCCCCCCCCCCCCATATCTGAGATACTGAAATGTTTATTAAGATTTTAGAGTTAAATGGAAAGGCTTGATTACTCTGGCTTGGATCCCAGGTAAGTTAAATTGGTGAAGTTTCTTTTTGTAAATGTCTTTGTCTTTTCTTACTGAAAGCTGGATAAGCTGGCCCATCACAAATGTGGAACAAGCAAAGGGTGCTGTGTTGGGATAAGGGGATAAGAAAATTGTATTCAGTGGACTTTCTTAAATTAACTTACGATGCAAGCCATTGAAGCTAAATGATGGAAGAGGCAGGCTGCAGTCCTAAACAAAGCAACATAAAGGCTGAAGTCCTATCCAAACTACTTGAGAGTAAGTCCCATTGAATGAAATATGACTTGCTTTTGAGCAGCCATAGTTGAATGTGCATGTCAATAATTTGCAAAATAGAGTACTACAAAAACATTTGTCAATGAGGTGTCTGCAAAGTAAAGTTTTACAATGCTAAATGTGACTCTGTTTAGCCCAAGGGCCACAGCAGGCTTTGTAGGACATGTTTAGGGTCATCTCCAAAAGTGAACGCAGCCACAATCTAAATTGGGTTTGATTTTGGTGAAGAGCGGGTTTTTCTAAAAAGCAGAGTTGTTGTTGGGGTTCATAGTTTAAAACACACCAAAGTTTTCCCCCTCCATGCAGAGAAATGTGTTGTCCAGGGATATCTTGGAAAGCTAAGGCCATTTGAAGAAAACAATCCTTTGAAGCTTGAGTGTCCATTGAACCACGAACGTGCAAACTCTACCCTGAATTGGTACATGAATGGAAACAAAATACCCTTAACTGCACAGCCTTTTTCAAGAATTTTTCAACAGGAAAACATGCTCTGGTTTGTCCCTGCAATTGCTCAAGATTCAGGATTGTATGAATGTATTATACGGTAAGGAATTGCGTTTATTGGTTCTGGGAATAGAGGGGGGGGGTGGCATTTTGTAACAACGTTGGAAATATGAATCGTAGTTGGGGTTTTCCAGGCTTAGGGAGATGTGTATCAAGTGCATTTGCAGTTGCTACTCAAAGTAGATGGCAGCTGTGGCCAGGAGAGCCTTTACCCAGATTCATTTGGTATGCCAATGATACCCTTTCCTGGACCAAGAGTCTCTTATTACAGTCACGGTCAGTAGTCATCTGACATGTAGACTATTGCAATGTGCTTTACATGGTTTGCCCTTGAAGACCATTCAGAAACTGCAGCTGTTCCAGAAAATGACTGCAGAGGCAGTTGTGGGCATGCCTTGGTATGCTCATGGAATGCTTCTGCAGAGTGAGCTCCATGGATTACCAGTAAGCTTTTGGGTATAATCCAAATTACCTGTAAAGCCGTTCACGGCATAGCGTTGCTTGCTCTCCCATTGCCCCTGCCCATTCTGTATGATCTGGTAGAATAGGCATGCTCTATGGCCTATCTTTAAAACAGTGCACTTGATGGGATCCACCAAAATAAATGAACAAGGACGCCTATACCAGTTCAACTCATATAAGCAAATAATATAAGCAAACTTCTGCAGGCAAAGCCCCGTAGAGGCTTTCATGGCATCTATGCTGGTACCTTTTTTGTATAAAAGATATTTGTCTTGTCTTTGTTATTTTAGGTTTCAGTACTTTTAATCTGGCAATTTTTGATGCCTGTGCATTTTAGGCTGGGATGGTGGTTTTTCAACAAGTTTAGTGATGTTTCCATTGCTACCTATAGTTGTAATTTACTGACTTTTTGTTTTAATTACTTTAGTTTATAATTCTCCAGAGAAGTTTTTTAGTTGGTGGATTAAAACTGTAATGTATAAGAAAATAAAAGACAAAGGTTTGGGTAAAATATTCAGGCAGAAAATAGAATTGTACCAAAATAATAATTTTAACAGATTGTTTTATTTTTTAGTTACAGGAATTCAACAAGATGTTATAAGCACAGTGTCCAAATTGCAGTTCTCAATAACAGTGCTTCTCATTGTTTTAATGAAGAATACTACATTAAGGAAATGGTGTCTCTAACACCACCATCCAAGATTGTATGCCATCAAGTGAATGATTTTGGACAGGATGTAGATTATTCTTCCATCCGTTGGTACAAGGTACAGATCTTTTAGGATTCCTCCTTCTGTGATTTTTTTCTATGGATGTTTAAATGAATGTTAGTAATTATGAGGTCCGGTGTCTTTCTTTTCCTTTGTAATATTAACACAGCTGTGGGAGAGGAACTTTGAAGAAGTTACCAGCAGGTCAAATGATGATTCATTGCTCACTAAATTTAGAGGCTAATTCCTTCAGATTGAATTGTCTCTCCTGTGATCTTTCAAGGTCTATGGACCACTTATACTCTGTATAATCTAGCTCAAAGAGTTGCTAGGAGGAAGGCTGAAAACAAAAGTTCTTCAGAAACACAAACATTGAGAATAATAAAAAGGAGAAATTAAAATTATATGCATCTTTATTCAGAATGGATGTTTGACATACATGTATAGCTGTATGTGTATTTGTATGTCTATAGAATGAAGACCCACAAGTTGGGCTCAACACTTGGTGACTACATGAAGAATATAACCTTCTCTAAGATGTTTTTTTCAATTGTCCACAATACCCTACATACACAGACACATATACAGAGTGTAAATCAGATTTATTAACACATATATTTATATGGCCATTGTTCTAAGCTGTAAAAAAGAGTGTACTATCCTCAACTCTGGTAACAATATATTTCATAGTATGGATCCTATCACGGAAAAAGGCCAAATTTGCTACATAGTTATATTAAATGCATTGCAAGTGGGATGTTAAATATGACCAGCAAAAAGGGATCTGTTGAAATCCTAAGAGTGTGAGATGGAATACAGAGCAATAGACAGTATAACAGGTAATTTGGGCCTAAGTCATATATTGGCAACAGGTATGTGAGTCACATTAAAAAAAAAAAAAACACCTGGTGGAGCTTCGATTGACTTTGGACACCCCTATACAGCAAACATATTGTATTGCAGGGTTCCTCAACCTTGGCAACTTTAAGACGGGTGGACTTCAACTTCCAGAACTCCCCAGCCAGCAAGGGAATTCTGGGAGTTGAAGTCCACCTGTCTTAAAGTGGCCAAGGTTGAGGAACCCTGTTGTATTGGACTCAGAAGGCAAGAGGCAATCAATACTGTTGTTTCAACATAAAGGTCATCTGTGTGATGGAATGGAATTATGAAGGCCAGGCTCAGGGAGATAAGCATTTTCTTAGTTCACCAAAAGAGCGTGGGAACTACAAGAGGATGAGGCTGGCACCTCCCTGAGGAATTCATGGTGTGGCTGGCTGGCTGGCTTGGGAGCTGGGATTTCAGTCTGGGAAGATTCTTGCTAGAGGTTGTAGCTAATAAATGTAGCTGAACTGATTTTGCATTGTCTCTTGGAGTTCCTTCGGCTAAACCTGACATCAGTCTTCCCAGACTGAAATCCCAGCTCCCAAGCCAGCCAGCCACAACACCATGAATTTCTCAGGGAGGTGCCAGCCTCATCTTCTTGTAGTTCCCACACTCTTCCGGTGAACTAAGAAAACGCTTATCTCCCTGAGCCTGGCCTTCAGAATTCCATTCCGTCACATCTGGTACCACTAGTCACCTGTTCTGCTGTATTCTTAGCCAGTTGCAATTTCTGACTACCTTCTATGGTTGCCCTGCTAATAACACATTTCAGAAACCAAACCTTGGGGTTACTAACACATATCACTGAAAACAGGCTTCTTGCTCCAGGTGGGGACACAATCAGTTAATCATCCAAAGCTAAAGAAAGGTCCCACTTGCCGCTGTTATTATGTGGTTGTCCAGCATCCCAGACTGTGAGCTAGTACTTTTTTACAAAAAACAGATGAGTATATGTGGGGGGTTGTGGAGGAGTGTACACACAGTGTAGTCAATACTGCTTTTCTGTAAACAGATGCGATAAGTATCTATGTGTGTATCTATATGAAGAAAGAGAGTAAGGGAGAGAGAGAGAGAGAAATAGTGCACAAGGAAAAGTGACAGTGTGAAATATTTTCAGAGTCCAATACTACCTTTATAAAAAATTATAGAAAAAAGAAAGTACTGTATAAGCTCTGGGCTATGTCTGGATAAGCAGGCCTATAGAAGTAGGTTTCAATTCGAGGAGCATTTTCTTCCCTTTTTTGTCATCAAAAATGTTTTACTTTGTTGCATTTAGGAATGTGAGCCAATACAGGGAGAACGATTTGAGTTCGCCGGAAAGGATCTTATCATAAAAGATGTGAAAAAAGATGATGGGGGAAAATATGTATGCAAAGGAATGTACACTTTTGAGGGAAATAAATACAATTTTTCAAGTAATATTTGGGTGAGATTAGGTAAGGATTTGTGTCTGTTACTTTTTCAGTAAAGCTGCAGTTTGCTCCTATATTCCCTGGCCAGGAAATGTTTTCCATTCTTTTTTGCATATGCTGACTTACGTTTATTTTACCAGATTTGGAAAGAGATTTAATGCAATTTCAAAATGCTCATGTTACATATTAAACTATCTAGGAATTGAGACAACACAGATAATCTCAAACAACATTCAGTCTTCCTAATGCCCCTTTAAACAGTGTTAATGTACATAATGCATACAATTGCGGGGGAAAGTTCAAAATAAAATGTTTGATGACAGATTAATCATTTTCATTCCATTTACAAGTAACAGAAATTTAATTGCCTTGCTAGCATGAACATTCCTTAAGTATAAACTAGCTGATTCTTTTATATTCCTTTGAGGTAATAATGTATTTAGGTAAGTCAAGCTTCAGCATAGGTGTCATCTGCTGTTATTATGGTTTATGGTTGGGACATATTATGATTGAGGGTCTTGGGTTATTATTTGTAAGTCTTGGTTTTAATCTTTGTAAGCCGCCCAACATTGCTGTTTTGAGATGGGTGGCTGTGGAAATGATATAGATAAATGAAATACAAATAAAGTTATAAACAATGTAAACATTAGTTCCATGTTCCAAATGTAGTTCCAAATATAGTTCTCATACAAAGGAGAATTCAGTTGGTTTTTCCAATCTCTCCATTTGTTGTAAAACCTATTTTCCTGCACTGAAAACTATGAAGCATAAAAGCTGATTTTTTAATACCCTAGGGTGGAAAAACAGGGATGGTTCTTTGGGGGTAAGCGCTGTTATCCATTTAAATATTGGGAACAACAGTACTGACCATTCTATCAGTTTCCCCTACATCAGGCTGTAGCAAAAAGAAAGAAAGTAATGATGGTTGTTCAGTCAGCCTTGTTAATAGACTAAGTCCACCATCAAGTTCCTCTCCCTGAACTGCATACGATAAAGCTGTTCATGCATCAAAAATGATTCATAAGAATTACTTTAGGTCACAGGCATCTGTTTCTAACCACAGTTACACCAAAGTGACACTGTGATTGCACAATGCAATTTTCACCACTTCCTACTTCCATTATGACATCATGTGCAAATTCCATAGGTAAGAGGCAGAATTTGCATTGCTATGTGCCTTTTGTCACCTGCCCCTCTGTGATATTGCTTTGGACCTCACACAAGCACAGCACCTTTTTACTGGTCAATAAAGCAGTTCCCCCTTTTAAAGACTTCTTTGTAAGAACTGCAGGAAAGTTGTAATACAGCTGACTTTTAAAGCCAGTCGTATCTTTTTTCTGGAAATCTGGAAAAAGATGGGCTGCTTCAATAGATGGCAGTGAGGTCCAGTACTTGCTCAAAGTCCAAAGTTGTCTTCTGAATCATTTTCAAAGCATTGTAGCCCTAGTATTCAGCTGGATACTATTTAAAATTTAGGACTGGTGCCTGAACATCTTTTGCCCTTTCTAAGTTTTGTTTTTTTAATTAACTGTGTGAAAGCCACTGGAAGTATTGTTGGATTAAAAATGCTGTGGATATTGAATTCATACATACCAAGCTACCTGTGGGTTTATGTACATCTAAGACAATTTTTGTAATGTGTTTTGATATTCTAAAATTTACATAACAAAATCTTGGCATAAATGAATGCTAATTAAGTTACCTGAAGGATTATGAAAGTTTGTTATTCTCTCTTCCTGCCCCCCACCCCCACCCCATGTTGCTTTGCTTATGTTCAAATTTATGACATAGCTTATATATGGTTTCTTTTATCCCAGGAAAAGTAGTCAGGAAAAGAACCGAGATTCTGTACCCCAGAAACAATACTGTTGAAGCTGACCTTGGTAAGCTCTCTGCTGTTGTCTTAATTTAAAAATACAATTAAAAAAAAAAAAAAACCTTGTAAACCTCTCTCAATTTGCACACATTTTAATCGCAATGATCCAATGGCATCCAACGGCGGGTAGGAAGCAGGATGACAAAAGCAGTGATGTCATGACTTTTTTTTGGTCATAGTTTGTATTGTATTAGTCCATTTTCAAATAAAGAAACTTAAAATAATGTAAAATAAAATAAAAACAAACCATTTACCTTACCCAAGTACTCAATGAAAAAAAAAGTGATATCTACAAAAAAAAGTACATAAAACAGCAGTATTGTGATGCAGCCCTGCCCCTTTTGGACATGCAGCATGAAAGCAGCAAGTTCAGGTAGTAATCAGTGATGACAACCTAGAAGGCCAGCACTTTCTGTCTTTAACCCCTGAGTCTGAACTTGCGCTGCAGTGGACTTTGTCTTTTCCCCATCATGAAAATGGAAAGCAGCTTGCATATGCTGTAGGATGCTGATCAACCTACCTCTCTTTGGAATAGCAATCAGGATAGACCGAGCTTGGAAGTCTGGAATGTGTGTCTGTGTGTGGGTTGCCTCAATTTTAAGATCCATTAATCAGAGTCAGGTATAAAATGGACAGTAGAGAGAGTAGAATAAATTGTCATGTGCCATCCCAAGAGAATATGCTGAATATGAACATACAGCTGATTCACTATAGATGAGGGATTCTGACTCAATTGGTGGCCAGTAGAACTATATATAAACAGAACTGGTCAAAAATAGCCAATTAATAGACCTATTGTACAGTCAGGAACAGGGAAATATAAGCAGTTTGATCAAATCTGTCAGCTGGATTTAAAAAAAAAATTCAGCTTTACTTAAAATTGTTAAATTATTAGCAGACAGATCCACAAATTAGTTT